CAGCAAAGTTCTGTGGCTGTTGTGGTACCTGGCACCATTTTTTCTATTAGCCTCTTAATCATCATCTGGAAAGAGAACATTCTAGAGTAATATCATTAAATATAGCTTTGATAAAGCACGGTCCCTACTATGTATCATAAAGCAGGTACTAGATATTTTACATTCATAGAGGTATGATACAGTACTGTCCTACATCAATAATACTAGGTTCAGTTTTGGTTTGAAATTTACTTTGTCTGCAAATAAGATTGCTACCCCTGTTTTTTTCTGGGCTCCTGTCACATGGAGAATTGTTTTCTATCTTTTCACTTTCAGTCTATGGGCTTCTTTTTGCACTAGGTGTGTTTCTTATATACAACATATTATTGGATTTTGCTTCTTATTCTATTTTGCCAGTCTATTTCTCTTGATTGGTGAGTTGAGGCCATTGACATTGCTGGTTATAACTGATATGTACTGACTTATCATTGACATGTTATTGGCCTTTTGTTGACTCTTTTTACTTTTTCACCTTCTCCTTTTAGTTTCTTGCCTTGCCTATTTATTTCATTATCTTTAAAGTAGTTACTTGGAGCATAAGGCATAGTCCAAAAAGATTGTTAAAAAGAAGAACCAGATAATAATACAAAGATTTCTTTTCAATGAACTAAAATAAAGTGGTACTAAAAATGAAAAAATTAGCATGCATATTAAAATATTTTTAAAAAATGGAATAGGTAATTTTGTGAAGTATTTAAACTTGTCCCTATTTCCTATTTATTTATCTTCTGTTTTGCTCTTTTTATGTCATATACACTTATATTAATGTTTCTAATAAAAGAGAAACCATGCAATATTTAAGCTTGTGTGTTTCGCTTATTTCACATAACATTTTGTTCTCAACTTCCCTCTGTTCACTTATAAATGCATCAAGTTTATCTTATAACAGCAGAGTACTAAACTATATGAATGGTTTACTCACCATGTGTAAAGTACTGGATCATTCTGAATTTGTCTATATATTACTCTTATTAGTGAGTTTCATAACTTCTGATGATTTCTTCTTACTCATTAACATCTCTTCCTTTCTGTTTGAAGAGCTCTCTTTAGAATTTCTTGTAAGCCTTGTCTGGTGTTGATAAATTCTCTCAGCATTTTTTTTCTGAGAATCATATTATTTCTCCTTCCTTTTCAAAGTATACCTTTGCTTGGTACAGTGTTTGCTTGGTACATTTCTTTGCAATGGTGTAAATCTTATATTGCTCCTTCCCTGTTGTCATCAAATTAGAACATCTTCAGTTTTCCTTTCCTCTTGCTGTTTGAGAATCCTATCTTGTCTTTAACATTTGACAACTGAGCTTAAGGTCTTTGTTAAGTTGAACTTGACTAGTGATTTTTGATGTTAATGTACTTGGTTATTTGTATCTTCTCTAGGTTTGGGAAGTTTTCTCCTGTTATCTCTTTGAATGAGATTTCTATTTTTTGAGCATTCTTAAATTTCTCTTGAATCCATTAATCCAAATACTTGTTCTTTAATGCTGTCATAAAGTTCTCATAAGCTTTAAAAAATTCTCCTTTATCATTATTACTATTTTGCCCTTGAGCTCTGTATTGTGAAAAGGCTTGTCTTTGAGTCATTGATTGTTATTTATTTTGATCTACTCTGTTACTAGAGCCTTCTACTGTGGTTTTAATTTTATTTAGTGCACTTTTGTGCTCCAAGATTTTGCTTAGATTTTAATAATTGCTTTAATTTCTCTGTTCTCAGAACACTGATTTGTTCTTCTCTGCTCTCTTAAAAATTTTCTCAGTTGCCTTAAAGCAATTTTTTTGAATTTTATATCCTTGAGTTTTCACATATAGTTTATCATTTGGTCATATCTTGTCACTTTAGTTTGTTCTTCAGATGAGGCCATGGTGCCCAGAATTTTATTTTC